ATTTTTTTTTTTTTTTGAATATTTAAGTGACTGCGTTTATTCACTAATATGGCATTTTGAGAATTTTTTGTTGTAGAAGGTTATCAGTCAATGTGACATGAACCAAATAGTTCAATAAGTAGAATAATGTCTTAAATGTTATCCCGAAATATATATATGTATATATCCAAATATATATATATATATATATATATATATATATATATATATATAGAAATGGACAAAGTCCGACAATTTATTTATTTAAGACATTTTTTTATGTTTAACGTTCTTTTTTTATAGATACAAGTATTTAAGTAAATGCTCTGTTTATAATAAACAGTATTAAATAACATTTACTGGCCTGAATGTCCGAGAAATTTTCATAGAAATTATTCGTCCTTTGACAGGATTCGAACCTGCATCCTATACGGAACCGTAAAAAAGAACGTTAAACATAAAAATGTCTTTAATAAATAAATTGTCGGACTTTGTCCATTTCTTAATATATGACGTCATTTGTTTACATTTGATACGCCAGAGCAGTTATGAATGGACTAGATTCATGGAAGATTGAAGTTTATAAGCAGTAAATTCGACCTTGTCTACCGAACGCTCCTTTGTGGCCGGTCGGTAAGGCACGTCAGCGTAAATGACGGTTCCGTATAGGATGCAGGTTCGAATCAGTTTTTTGATCTAGGTCCGTTTTTCTGTTTGTACAGTAATTTTAATAGTAAATTCTATATTTGCTTCCAATACACATTCTTATATCAATCCACCAATATAAACAAAACCTTGAATATTATATTCCAATTATCATATGTGTGAATCATAATAATACATAATACATAAGACTTTATAACAACACTATTAAATAAATTCAACTATACATAACACAACATATATTTATACAATTCACTATACTACATTAAAAATTTGTCTGTAAACAAATATCTCGAATGTTTGGCAAGTACTTTAAAAGTAAAGACGCTATGTGGGTGTGTCATTATAAAACATAATCTGTATGGATGGAAAATTGTGTCACATGACTTGATTTTTGCTTTGGTTTGTTTTACAGCATATCTGCCTCAATAGATCATTTAATGCCGACAACTTTTTTTTTATTTTTCCTTTCCTGGTCATATTTTTGTTTTGTCAAAATTCTATTTCTGTTAATATTTTTTTCCCTCAAAAATGTATAACTGGTAATATTATCTTTTCAAAAACGTATTGCAGGTAATAGTTTTTCTTCTTCAAAAATTTATTTCTGGTAATAATTTTTTTTACAAAGTATTTCTGGTATTAAAACCAAGTTTAACATTTTCATAATGTTTTTTTTTTTACCTCAGTTTCGGGGTTAACTATTTGCCCATATCTGGGACCCTAACAGGTGCTACCACCCTGGGTCAGGGTGGACCTGGGAACATCAGCAATTAAGAGGTGGTTCCATGCTCCTCAAAACCTCCTGATCAGAGGCCTTGCTGCTGGACGTAGTTTATCATCGTACCCTGGACGGCACCTGACTTGATGGTAGATAAATAAATAGATGCACCCTGGTTTTCTGCTTTTACGTATTTTGAAATAAAAGAGAGGAAGAAACAAATATGTATAATAAAAAATAGAATTATAATTTTTGAAGTAATTACCTAGAAAAAAATGAATGTTAAAAATTTTTATCGTATTTTTTCTATTGTTCTGTGTATCATGGAATGCATTGTTTCACAATCTATGAAACCTGTCTATATTTCTGAGATGAGGTATTATGTACACTATTTACTTTATTCGGACAATTGTCCTCATTTTTGTCGCCATATTTATCCGATCCTTCAGTATCTGTCAATATTTCTGAGATGAGGTATTATGTACACTATTTACATTATTCGGACTATTGTCATCATTTTTGTCGCCATATTTATCCGATCCTTCAGTATCTGTCTATATTTCTGAGATGAGGTATTATGTACACTATTTACATTATTCGGACTATTGTCCTCATCTTTGTTGCCATATTTATCCGATCCTTCAGTATCTGTTTATATTTCTGAGATGAGGTATTATGTATACTATTTACTTTATTCGGACTATTGTCCTCATCTTTGTTGCCATATTTATCCAATCCTTCAGTATCTGTCTATATTTCTGAGATGAGGTATTATGTACACTATTTACATTATTTGGACTATTGTCCTCATCTTTGTCGCCATATTTATCCGATCCTTCAGTATCTGTCTATATTTCTGAGATGAGGTATTATGTACACTATTTACATTATTCGGACTATTGACCTCATCTTTGTTGCCATATTTATCCAATCCTTCAGTATCTGTCTATATTTCTGAGATGAGGTATTATGTACACTATTTACATTATTCGGACTATTGTCCTCATCTTTGTTGCCATATTTATCCAATCCTTCAGTATCTGTCTATATTTCTGAGATGAGGTATTATGTACACTATTTACATTATTCGGACTATTGTCTTCATCTTTGTTGCCATATTTATCCGATCCTTCAGTATCTGTCTATATTTCTGAGATGAGGTATTATGTACACTATTTACATTATTCGGACTATTGACCTCATCTTTGTTGCCATATTTATCCAATCCTTCAGTATCTGTCTATATTTCTGAGATGAGGTATTATGTACACTATTTACATTATTCGGACTATTGTCCTCATCTTTGTTGCCATATTTATCCGCTCCTTCAGTATCTGTCTATATTTCTGTGATGAGGTATTATGTACACTATTTACTTTATTCGGACTATTGTCCTCATCTTTGTTGCCATATTTATCCGATCCTTCAGTATCTTCTATATTTCTGAGATGAGGTATTATATACACTATTTACATTATTCGGACTATTGTTCTCATCATTGTTGGCATATTTATTCGACCCTTCAGTATTTGTCTATATTTCTGAGATGAGGTATTATGTACACTATATACATTATTCTGTAATTTCTACCAGTTAAAAAAAAATGCTGCTGTATGGACCTGAAGAAGATCCTTTCCCGATTAACCTAGTCTAGGCTGAACTGTTATCTTCCTTACACATCCACATAAAATTTGCCTCTTACTCTATAACCCTATACCTTGTATGGGTGAAGATTGTTGTTAAAAAATACCCCTCGGTCACAAAAAACTAAAATAAATCCTGCTAAGGAAAGAAAAGCGGAAATTGTATATTTGAGAAGCGGGTGACCGAAGTTAGCAGATCAGACGTTCGGCTCTTGGAAGTGATTGGTCATATGGAATAGGATTTCAACATAAACTGTTAACTCCACCATGATCGACCTAGCTGAGTTCATCTCCGGGCTTGAGAGCCATTTTCTTTTATTTACACTTCATTTTGTATTTATAAGTATTTAGGGTTCTTCTTTTTTCTCCTCTCTTTCAAATGAGAAAAAATCTTTGAAGGGAAAAAAGACCAGATTTACCATTTTCTAGTTTAAAACGAGTTTAACGAAACTAAATTAGCAAAATAAACTGGATTTACAGACCAGTTTTTGGCACTGGTGGAAATAAGAGATTGTATCATGGATCTATCTATCTATCTATCTATCTATCTATCTATCTATCTATCTATTTCAATCATTTTCTTTCTTTCTTTTTTCTTTCTTTCTCATTCTGTTTCTTCCTATCTATCTATCTATCTATCTATCTATCTATCTATCTATCTATCTATCTATGACAGTCTGTTAATTATCTATCTATCTATCTATCTATCTATCTATCTATCTATCTATCTATCTATGATAGTCTGTTAGTCTATCTATCTATCTATCTATCTATCTATCTATCTATCTATCTATGACAGTCTGTTATCTATCTATCTATCTATCTATCTATCTATCTATCTATCTATCTATCTATCTATTTCAATCTTTTTCTTTCTTTCTTTTTTCTTTCTTTCTCATTCTGTTTCTTCCTATCTATCTATCTATCTATCTATCTATCTATCTATCTATGATAGTCTGTTATCTATCTATCTATCGCCAATTTTCTTTTTTTTTCTTTTTATTATCTTCTACCTTTTGTTTACGTCTTCTTTGTTAGACGTCTCGCGTTCGCAATTTGCCAAAATGGCCGACAGGAGACTGAATTGGCTGATAGCTGACAAGTTATCCAAAATGGCCGACACTTGACCAGAATCCAAAATGGCCGCCAGCTGTCAAGATGAATTTTCGTCAGCTGTCGGACGACAACGGACAAAAATCCGAAAATGGTAGGTTCCGTTTTGACGCTGCAGCCGAGAAAGGAAATGAAAAAGACACGCTTGGCTGATAAAAATGAAATAAAATCCGGAATTTTTCCGCGTGTGGGGACGGAGTAATTTGGAAAACTAAATAAAGAAAGAGGGGAAGAGAGAGAGAGAGAAAGTGGTGGGGGGAGAGAAAATGAGAGAGGTGGCGAGGACGGGGGGAGTGCGTGGTCGCTGTAGGTGGGCCACTGAAATTCGTCAGTTTTGTTGTCCATCGCTTCGAGCTGCCTCAAGGCGACTTTATAGTTGAATGTCGAATATTAGAGTCCCACCACGTCGCCATTTTCCTTTCGAATTAATACTTTCGGATTTGACGAGGAAGGTCTTTGTCGATAAAAATAAATGGAACTTGAACGAACAAATAGTAAAAAAAAACAGTCGATAAAAGATCTTCATTTATAATTTACTCATTTTTGCCATCATCTTATCTTGTAGCTGTCAGTGTTGTCGTATCATGTCGTAAAGGAAATAGATTTTAGAGTTAAAACCTTTCAAATAAATAAATCTGTAATGGCTACAAATAAGTTGATTTAAGGCATTTAATCTAATAGTTTTGATACTGCGTGATACCACGTGACGCGGACGCTAAACATGGAGGCTCTCGACTGTGGTACTAATCATCGAGATTGTTGTATTAGACATTCCTTTGTAGCATGGAAAACATTATCTGTGTATACGGTTCCAGACTGTTTTGTTTAATTACCTATATATATTTTTTCCAATAATTTTTGCAAGACCCAAGAGCTACTCTAGGTAGAGGGGTACTGATTAAGTTGTACAGTTTTATGTTTGGAAGACCTTTGAACTTTCTTTCTGTTTTGAACTTTGTATATCTGTAACTCATCTCTCGCATTTCGATCTTTCTTTCTTTCTTTCTTTCTTTCTTTCTTTTCTTTCTTTTTTCTTTCTTTCTTTCTTTTGTACTTTATTTTCTCTCTTTTATTTCTTATTTTCTTTCTTTCTTTTTTACGTTGTTTTTTGTGTTTTTTACCTTTGAACTTTCTTTATTTGTTTCTTTCTATTGTTCTTTATTTTTCTCTATCTTTCATTTCTTATTTTCTTTCTTACTTTTTTTACTTTGTCTTTTTTGTCTCTCAGCTTTGAAGTTTGTTTCTTTCCTTCTTTTCTACTTTGTTCTCTCTGTCTCTCATTTCTTATCTCTCTTCCGATATTTTCTTTCTTTCTTCGTTTCTTTCTTTCTAATATGCTTGTTTGATATCTTGTTTCTCTCCGTCTCATTTTTTTATCCTTGTTCCGATTTTACCTTTCTTTCTTTCTCGCTCTCACTTACTATCTTTCGTTCTTTCTTTCTTTCTTTCTTTCTTTCTCGCTCTCACTTCCCATCTTTCGTTCTTTCTTTCTTTCTTTCTTTCTTTCTTTCTTTCTTTCTCGCTCTCACTTCCCATCTTTCGTTCTCTCTTTCTTTCTTTCTAGCTCTCACTTCTTATCTTTCGTTGTTTCTTTCTTTCTTTTTCTCCTTCTTTCTTTCTTTCTTTCTTTCTTTCTTTCTTTCTTTCTTTCTTTCTTTCTTTCTCGCTCTCACTTCCTATCTCTCTCTCTCACTCTTTCTTTCTTTCTTTCTTTCTTTCTTTCTTTCTTTCTTTCTTTCTTTCTTTCTTTCTCGCTCTCAATTCTTATCTTTCTTTCTTTCTGTCTTTCTTTCTCGCTCTCACTTACTATCTTTCCTTCTCTCTCTCTCTTTCTTTCTTTCTTTCTTTTTCTTTCTTTTCTTCTTTTTTCTCGCTCTCACTTCCCATCTTTCGTTCTCTCTTTCTTTCTTTTCTAGCTCTCACTTCTTATCTTTCGTTGTTTCTTTCTTTCTTTTTCTCCTTCTTTCTTTCTTTCTTTCTTTCTTTCTTTCTTTCTTTCTTTCTTTCTTTCTTTCTTTCTTTCTTTCTGTCTTTCTTTCTCGCTCTCACTTCCTATCTTTCCTTCTCTCTCTCTCACTCTTTCTTTCTTTCTTTCTTTTTTCTTTCTTTTCTCTCGCTCTCAATTCTTATCTTTCTTTCTTTCTGTCTTTCTTTCTCGCTCTCACTTCCTATCTTTCCTTCTCTCTCTCTCACTCCTTCTTTCTTTCTTTCTTTCTTTACTCGCTCTCAATTCTTATCTTTCTTTCTTTCTGTCTTTCTTTCTTTCTCGCTCTCACTTCCTATCTTTCCTTCTCTCTTTCTTTCTTTCTTTCTTTCTTTCTTTCTTTCTTTCTTTCTCGCTCTCAATTCTTATCTTTCTTTCTTTCTGTCTTTCTTTCTCGCTCTCACTTCCCTATCTTTCCTTCTCTCTCTCTCTTTTCTTTCTTTCTTTCTTTCTCGCTCTCAATTCTTATCTTTCTTTCTTTCTGTCTTTCTTTCTCGCTCTCTTCCTATCTTTCCTTCTTTCTCTCTCCTTTTCTTTCTTTCTTTCTTTCTTTCTTTCTTTTTTTCTTTCTTTCTTTCTTTCTTTCTCGCTCTCAATTCTTATCTTTCTTTCTTTCTGTCTTTCTTTCTCGCTCTCACTTCCTATCTTTCCTTCTCTCTCTCTCACTCTTTCTTTCTTTCTTTCTTTCTTTCTTTCTTTCTTTCTTTCTTTCTTTCTCGCTCTCAATTCTTATCTTTCTTTCTTTCTGTCTTTCTTTCTCGCTCTCACTTCCTATCTTTCCTTCTCTCTCTCTCACTCTTTCTTTCTTTCTTTCTTTCTTTCTTTCTTTCTTTCTCGCTCTCAATTCTTATCTTTCTTTCTTTCTGTCTTTCTTTCTCGCTCTCACTTCCTATCTTTCGTTTCGTCTTTCTTCCTTTCTCGCTCTCCTTTCTTTCTTTCTTTCTTTTTTCTTTCTCTCTTACTTTCTCACTCTCACTTCCTATCTTTCTTTCTTTCTTTCTTTCTTTCTTTCTTTCTTTCTTTCTCGCTCTCACTTCCTATCTTTCGTTCCCTCTTTCTCTCTTTCTCGCTCTCCTTTCTTTCTCTCACTTCTTATCTTTCTTTCTTTCTTTCTTTCTTTCTTTCTTACTTTCTTTCTTTCTTTCTTTCTTTCTCGCTCTCACTTTCTATCTTTCGTGCTTTCTTTCTTTCTTTCCTTCTCTCTTTCTTTCTTTCTTTCTTTCTTTCTTTCTTTCTTTCTCGCTCTCACTTCTTACCTTTCTTTCTTTCTCCTTTTTACCTATTTCTCAGTTATTTTTCGTTTCTTTGTTTGTTTGTTTCTTATTCTTTTAAGTCCCATCCTCCATGACCAGATTCGTCTTCATCCTGGCTGCCTTGGCAAGAAACCAAAAGAAACATAAAATAATTCCTGCTCAGGATAAACGTGCCAGTTTAATCCCTTAATTCTATGTAATGATCATCTTTGTTTTTTGTTTTGTTTTACAGGGGATTAGAGATTATTGCCCGATTAATTACGTATTGTCATTGAACCAGTTTTGAGTTCCGCTCACAGAATTCAAACTCATCAGGGCGACGGCAACACAGACAGTGAACTGTCTGAGAAAGCATCCACGATTGTTCTGGATCTGAGCAATAAATGTGTGAGACTGATGGTGCATGTTCGAGTCTCAGATAAGGTGAGATAAAGTTCTAGTGGTTCGCAAACTTTTTTTTCTCTGGGGCGCATTTTCGAACTGATTCTAAATTTTTGATTGTCTTTCAATCATTCCGCTTCACCGGTTATACCTCTTCCGCCTCACCTGCTATCCTCGTCTCCCTTACTTGCTATCCTCTTCCGCCTCACCGGCTGTCCTCTTCCGCCTCACCTGCTATCCCGATCCGCCTCATCGGCTATCCACTTCTGCCTTTCCGGGCTATCCTCTTCCGCCTCACCTGCTATCTCCTTCCGCCTCACCGCCTATTCTCTTCCGCCTCACCTGCTATTTCCTTCCGCCTCACCGGCTACCCCCTTCCGCCTCACCGGCTATCCTCTTCCGCCTCACCGGCTATCCTCTTCCGCCGCACCTATGAGGCTTGCCGCACCGTTTGGAAACTTCGCTAAACGCTTCATTCGATGACCGCAGCCAGCAGGAAGTGCTTGAATGAAGACAGAGGAAACTTGATCGATTATCGATACCCAACAAAGACCATCAGACATCTTTGAGATAAAAATTTTTAGGGAAAATGAATAAACGGATGAAAGCAAAGAAGACAGACAACATTAAGCTGTTGTCTAGATTTAACCTAAATTCTGGAAATCATACCTATTATAAAACCCAGGTTGTCTGTGAGTGTGTGTGTGTGTGTTTGTTCGTTTATATATTGGATCGGATTTCCTACATTTTTCAACCGATTTCAACAAAACTTCACAGGACTACGTAAAATTACCTTACGGTGGTTCTGACAGCGCCAAAAATTGGAAAAACACAATTGTTTTTGCACGAAATCAATTTGAAAACACGATTAAGTGGCATCGCTGTCGCGAGAATGAAAAGGGGACAACTCATATAGAGTTATACTTATTATAAAACCCAGGTGTGTGTGTGTGTGTGTGTGTGTTCGTTTATATATGGGATCGGATTTCCTACAGTTTTCAACCGATTTCAACAAAACTTCACTTTTTTGTCAGGTAGTGTTTCTTATTGTCCTGCACACTTTTTTCTTTATTTTTACATTCAGAATGCTTTAAAAATTCCATTTACAAGACAATTGTTTATAATAAAATTCTATTTAATCGGTAGACTCATAATGATTGAAAACAATGTTTTTGTTTGAGTTTGGGTTTGACCAAAAAAAAAAACAAAAAAAACAAAACAAAAAAAAACTAATTAAGACATGCGTGTCCGTCAAACTTAAACAATAATCTTTGTCAATTTTTATTTTTCAGTCTTTATGATGGTCGATATTTAATCTATCTCTTACTGTTACATCCCCGGGCAACGCCGGGCTCTCCTGCTAGTAATAACTATAAGTCTGTGTGCAGTGTCCCTTTAGGGCGTTGGCGATTGGAATTCTTCACATTTTTTCTATCCTTTTTAGCTCTTAATAAATTTGATCTTTTTGTCATATCTATCTATAAAAGGCTGGATGTGTGTGTGTGTGTGTGTGTGTGTGTGTAACGAATGCACGACCGCAATTTTCGACGGATTTGCACCAAAATTTACATGCACAGGCTCCAAGTTAACAGAAAGGCCAAGACCGCTTTTGCATTTCCCAACTCCCATCGATAGTGGAAATAATCGATTTTTTCATGCTGCTACGGCAGTTTTCATGTAGTTTTCGGCCATTTTCTACTGGCCAGAGTGAGAGCCTATAGATGGCTGCCACAAATAGGCAGGAAGATCTATTGGCCAGCGTGAGAGCCAACAGCTGACATGAATGTTAACTAGCATGCTAGCATGCACAAAAAATCGATAGCTGCATTCGTCACAAGTGGGAAAAATTTAAATCTGCATAGCACTTTACCCCAATTTGCCCATTCGTTTGCTTAAACTCAACGTTGATTCTGATTCCGCAGAACTGGGTTGGGTGTGAAAAAGTATTTGTTGTTAACATTCTTTTTTCATTCGGTTTTTCCAGTTACGAGTCCTTTTTTAAAGCTGATCGTTTTGTGTTCATTTTGTTTAGTTCTTTTTTCGTAACACATTTAATGTTTAGTATAGAGCTTAGAAAAAATTTGCAGTGTGAGATAGGCAAGAAGTAAGGCATGTAGCAACATCACCACGGCAAAGTGCACTCCTTTAAAGGCAAGGAAGGGCAAAAATATGTTAAGTCAAGTGATAGCGATTGCTCTATGAGTCGTACAATTTTTAATTAAGCACGGGCAACGCCGGGCCATGCTGCTAGTTACTACTAAACATTGTTCCCCATGTGTTTACTGAACGTAGCTAGGTAGGCTATGCGTTGATTTCCTCGGTACATCATGCCTTCAATCTGAACTGTGAGTATCAAATTCTCTAAGCCCTCTTTCTTCATTATGTTTACTAGGAATTTCAAATGTCTCTTTCTGATGTTAAGTACAAGATTCTTTTTTGTTTTAATTTCCTTAAAACTTCGCTGTTTGGTCTATAGTATTCTCAGTATCCTTCTGTAGAACCACATTTCTTTAGTTTCAGGTCACTTCTTCAATTGTGAGGTGATTGTCCAGAATTCACTGCCATATAAGAGCACTGATATTACATAACATTTTCTGTGTTTCTAACGTAATAATAATAATAATAATAATAATAATATTATTATTAATAATAATAATAATAAAAAGAAGAAAATATAAATAAATAAATTGGAAAATTCAGTGGAGCTTGTAAAAAGTTTAAAGTTATGAAAGTATGGCACTGAAGGTTTTCATTCATTTATTTTTGATGTGAATGAAATTGTCTTTGAGTCGAGGAAGGTGAAAGGAAAAAGAGAGAGAAGGAAGAAAGAAAGAAGTGAAAAAGAAGGAGATATAGGGAGGAAGGGAGAGTAAAAAGGAATAAAAAGAGAAGGAAAGAAAAAAAAAGAAAAGTGAATGAAAGAATGTATAATAACCAGGGAGGAGGAGGAGGAGGAGGAGGAGGAGGAGAAGAAGAAGAAGAAGAAGAAGAAGAAGAAGAAGAAGAAGAAGAAGAAGAAGAAGAAAGTTTATTCAGTAATAAGAGAAGCCGACAAATTCAAAATGGAATATAAAACCCGTCATGGCAGAGGGGGCCAATATCTGCACTGGAAAACTGAAACGGAAAGAAGTTGATATGAACGCCACCCAAAGCCGGTTACGTAGATCGAACCTGTAACAATTTTATGGGAATTCAAAATAAATGCAGACAGAACAATCAAAGTTAATCAACCTAGACAAAAAAAAAGGGCCTCCTTATTGATATGGCCGTCCCCACAGACTGCAATGTATCTTTGAAGATCTTCAAAAAACTATCAAAATACAAGGACCTTGAAATAGAAATCTCAAAAATGTGGCACATGAGAACCTCAACAATTCCTGTTATATTTGGAGCCTTCGGACTGATTGGAAAAGATTCCAATAGACTTATTGAAGGGATACATGACAGTGCACGCCTTAAAGAAATAAAAAAAATGTCCTCACAGGTACAGCCCTTACGAAGGGCTTTATCTATGTAAAATATGTGCGATTTATTTGTTTAAATTGCTCAGTGGAAAATTTCATGACCCCATTTCTAACCTTAGGTTTCTGGTTGGGACCCAGAAAGAAATGAGTATGCACCAGAAATCAAAGGAAATGAAATAATAATAATAATAATAATAATAATAATAATAATAATATGTTTTAATGGGAAATTGGAAAAGCAGTTACAGGCGTCAAAAAGCCACCATCTATTAAAGAAATGCAGACATTTTGGGAGAATATTTGCAGTAACCCAAAGTAAGATAATCCCAATGCAGAGTGGATTAAATGAAAACAAGGAAGAATGAAGGATAAACCTGGGCAAGATTTGGAAAAATATAACCAATAATAATAATAATAAAATATAAAATTAAAGCAGTAAATGAAATTCTACTAATCAAGGAAATGAAAAGCTTTATAAGCTCTATCGATAAATTAAGAGACTCCAAACGGACCTCAAGAAGTTTTATATGGAAATTGGAAAAGCAATTATAGATGTCAAAAGGTCAACATCTATGGAAGAAGTGCAAAAATTTTTGAGAGAATATTTGGAGCAACCCAAAGGAATATAATCCCAATGTAGAATGGATTAAATGAAAACAAGAAAGAATGAAGGATAAACCTGTACAAGAATGGAAAAATATAACCAAGAATAATATTAGGCAAATTCTAACAAAATCCCCAAAATGGAATCCCCTAGGAAATGACAAAGTACCCAACTTTTGGCTTTATTATTTACCATCAATCCATAAAACTCTTACACAAACTTTATCAATGCTAATTAATAAACCCAATGAAATTCCAGAATGGATCACTGAAGGTATTACCTATCCCCTACCAAAAACGGGTGAAACAGATGATTAAAAAAATTATAGGCCAATAACATGTCTGCGTACCATATATAAATTGATCACATGTCTGTCTTGACAAACTGTATTTACTCTTTTCTCGATGAAAACAACATTCTTTCCCTGGAAAAGAAGAGATGTCGAAGAGGTTCCTATGGTTGCAGAGATCAACGACTAATAAATAAAATGGAGCTGGAAAATTGCAGGAAAAAGGGTAGAAATCTCAGAACTGCTTGGATAGATTACCGTAAAGCCTTTGATAGTGTGCCACAACCTTGGATCCTTAAGGATTTGGAAAATGTACAATGTCTCCTCAGTGATAGGAAATTTCCTTGAAAATGGCATGGAACTGAGGAAAACCACATTATACCCAAATCACACCAAAGGTAGTGCTCTT